AGACCTTCAGTAACTCCGTGGCGCGCTGCTCGTACGGAGCAAAGCCACACACCTCCCGGATCATGTGTGCACGAACTTGGTGTGTTTGGTCAGATGCCCGCAGCGGCGGCTGTGCCTGGGCTTGCCCACGTTCTTGGTCACCTTGTGGCCCTCGCTGAGGCCCACAGACGTGGGTACCGAAGAGCCACGGCTGCTGCTCTCCAACAGCGGCCATGGCGGAAGGGCTGGCGCCATGCGGAACTCTACTAGGTGTGTTATTTTAAACTGTGTCTCTTAGAACATTGATTCTAAGAAATGTTAGTAGATTTTTAATCAGAAAAATGATGGTACATCCCTAGTCAAGTATAGGAGTATGAGAAACGTGGTCCAGCCAAGGTATGAGAGAAGCCTTCAGCAAGTCTCTTAACCCAAATGCCAGGCACAAAGGTGAGACTAGCAGATTCCCACTACCTCGAAGTCACAGTAGAGATTCTGAGTATCAGAGTGAAGGCAGTCCTAGCTATTGTGCCATCCAGCATTGCCCAAGAGAGCATGGACAAGCTAGAGAGGATGTGATGGCCAAAGCAGGAGAGGGAACGTGTTGACAAGATACAGCTCGTTACTTCCTGGGGGTCTCTGGCAAGTCACTGAGACAGAGACTCAGTTTCCTTGTTTGTGAAAGGTGAGAGATGCTACTGTTACTCGTGGCTACCATTTACATACTGTGCTAAGCACTATGTCTTAGTAATTCTTGCCCCATGGGGTTCAAAGAGTTATGGTGAGGGTTATATTATATAATGTAGATGTAAGGGCTTTGTAAACTGTAAAGTGGTATAAAAATCCAAGGTCTATTTAAGATCATTACCTACCTCAGATAGTAATACCCACAACCAAAAAAAAACACCACCCAGGAAGGAAATTTACAGAGTGGTTAAGAGCCCAAGGTTCAGAGGCAACTAACCTGGAAGTCCAATTCCAAGTGGGCTACACTGGCTGTGTGACTTTGGGCCTATTATTCAACCTTCCTGTGCTTCAGTTTTCTCATCCGTGAAGTGAAGCAAAGTAGGATTTTAAAGAGAATTTAGGTCAGGTGTGGAGTGGTGGCTTATGCCTATAATTCCAGGGTATTGGGAGCCCAAGATGATAGGATTGCCTGAGGCCAGGAGCTTGAAACCAGCCTGGGCACCTTAGCAAGACTACATCTTTACAAAAATAATAACAATAATAATAAATATGTGATTAGCTGGGGGTGATGGCACACGCCTGCAGTCCTAGCTACTCCAGAGCCTGAGGACTAGCTTGAACCCAGGAGGTCGAGGGTACAGTGAGACATGATTGTGACACTGTACTCTAGCCTGGGTAAGAGAGAGAGACCCTGTCTCTTAAGTGAGATGAATGAATGAATGAATGAATAAACAAATAAATAGAATTTAATGTGATCATGCATTTAAAGCACTCGGCACATGGTCTGCCACTTAGTGAGCCTCCACCAAAAATTGTGCTTGAAGGTTTGGGTGCCAAGGGCCTTCCCCAGATGAATCTTTAACTAGAAAAGCAGAAAAAGAAGATTGATAGCAAATTGAGTTGGAGAAATGGGGGTGCTGAACCTCTGGAATGAAGGAAAAAGAACCCCAGCTCATGGTGTTGATTCTGGCTCAGAAGGAAAGGAACAGTAAGACGGGGGCCTTGTGTCTGCCGTGCCAAGTGTGATCAGGTGGGATAGCCCTGCCAGCTGCTCTTCTCAAAGCCCATGTCTGTCTCTGCTGCCAGGATGGGCTAATCGCCTGCCTTTCTTCATTTCTTCACATATGCAGTCAGGGAGAGGCTTAGCCTTAACCTTCAAGTTCTTCTCGTGTTCTAGGTCATTCTCCACCACTACACACACACACATACACACCCCAGCAATGACCCCAGGAAGGCAGGATACCTCAACTGCAGCCAGCCCCTGCTTCCTGGAACTGTTGCCCATTCATGTCTCTGGGAGATGCCCTCAAGCTTATGATGATGCAAGAGCAGAGACAGTAGTTTTAGCAAACACCTGGCCCTCTGAATCAGGGCTCCTCTAGGTTGGTGTTTCTGGGTGAGTCTTTCTGAATCTTCTTTTTCTGGCATTATTGACACAGCCCTTTACCAGGTTTCCGATCCTTTCTGGATTTTTTTTATTATTTTTTTTTGAGATTGAGTCTTGCTCTGTTGCCCAGGCTAGAGTGTCATGGTGCAATCTTGGCTCACTGCAACCTCCACCTCCTGGGTTCAAGTGATTCTCCTGCCTCAGCCTCTCGAGTAGCTGGGATTACAGGCATGCACCACCACAGCTGGCTAATTTTTATATTTTTAGTAGAGATGGGGGTTTTACCATGTTGGCCAGACTGGTCTTGAACTTCTGAACTCAAGTGACCCATCCTCCTCGGCCTCCTAAAGTGCTGGGATTACAGGCATGAGCCACCACGCCAAGCCCGATCCTTGCTGTTAATCCGAATTTCCTGGCAGCCCCCTCTGCCTGCAACTAGGTTGCATTCTCCCCCACAGTCAGACCCTGAGGTGAAGATTTGAGTGCAAGTGGTTTATTTGGGAAGGACAAATGAGGACATGAGATGGGGAAGGAAAACAGGCCAGGAGGGTCTCTGCCAGGCAAGTTCTCGGGGGCAGTTGAGCTCATTATTTCTGGAGAGCTCTGGGGCACAGTGTGGAAGGGGCCCCCAAGTTCTCCTACCTCAGGGCATGGGCTGGGTGTTGGGCCACCCATCCATATTGCCTGGGGGCCCTGAGACCAGGGAAAATGCCCAGAAGCAGAGAGACCCAGCAGTGTGCAGTAGCTGCTTTCTCAGGTGGAATTGAGAGCTGAGGGCCTATGGCAGGGCCCTAATACTGCCTGCCCCTCTTCCCAACACAGTTTTTCAAATCTCAGAGCCCTAGGCACAAGCCCAGCCTCTGCTGTGTGGGGCAGGTGGGTATGTCAGCGGACTGTGACTCCACCACAGCTTCCCAGAGTGGGAACTAGGTTGCAACTGTTGAAATATTGATGGAACTCTAAAAAATATGTGGAATCAGCTAAAGAAATTGGAAAACATCGGTCACAGTTCTGTTTATTCGGTGCCTCTCTCACCATGGCAAATTTTTCATCAGGAGAGAAAATTAAAACTAAGTAAAAGCATGAGCACTCTCTCTTGGGAGAGGCCCAGAACTCATTTCTCTGTCTGTTTCCAGCCAGCCCCTCAATGTTAATATTGAAATTAAAAAAATAATAAAAAATGCTTGTTTTTTTCAGTCTCAAAGATCTTCCTCCCTCTCTTGTTACACGGGCAGGCTGGGCTGGGAAAGGTGCTGGACGTCACTTCATCCTGTTCTCCCTGCATGATCTCTGCCAGCTGGTATGATCCGATGCCCTCTGACTCCCCACGGTGTGTCTGGGTTCTCTCCCACCTTGCTGCCTGCATTACCCTGGACAGACACACAAGTCCTAGGTACCCTGGTTTCTTCATCTTTAAGGTGCTGATAACAGAATCCATCGCTTAGGGTTATTATGAGAATTAAGTGAGATGATCTAAGCCCACACCAAGCACAGTGCATGCACAGAGTGAGTTCCCAATGAGTAAATCTTACTATTAATTTCTGGAGCTCCATCTTCGGGGTGGAGGGGTAGGCTTTAAACCCCCAACTCCTTTTTAAAAAAATAGTTTTAGTCCTGTGGGTCCCACTCCACATTCTTTATTGATTCACCCAATAGGTCCATTAAACATTTGTGCAGATAAAACCCTGGTGGCCTGCCCGTGATCTCTGGACTTGCTAGAGTTGCAGGAGAGGACCCTACAGAAGGC